AAACCCACAGTGAGAACACGCAAACTCCACCATGAAAGGCAGGAGGCGAACCTGCGACCTCGCTGAGAGAGGCGACAGCTCTAACCACTGTTCTGTGGGGTCACTCCATGTTACGATATGGAATCAAGTTTTAAACTAAAGTAGTCATTTTATGCTAAACAAGTATTCAACATTTTAAAAACATCACTGCAGGAAAAAAATTTAATAAAATAAAAGACTCAAGCAAGCAGGGAAAATTAAACAGAAACTCTGCTGGGTGTTTATGCATTTAAATTATGATTCTACAGTTTAAAAGAGCTTCAAACTACATAAGTAAACAAACGTCTAAGAAAACAGGAAGTCTTATTTTAGAATTTCAGACGTTTGGTCAAAAAGGGTCAACTAGGTTAAAACACTAGGTTTTGTAGCAAACAGTGCACATCTTTGTGCGTACAGTGGGCCGTCCTGCTGAGAAGGTAATAAATACCTAAGGGTGGTTCCCACTTATACGTAATCACTAAAGATAAGAAAACACAGATAAAAAAGTCCTGCACAGACAAACGGGTCCAAATATTTGCTGTGTTTCCGGCCAACGAGCTAAAGACTCCTCTGCTGCTGAGACACACAAGCACTTGACCACTTTAACCAGGGGAATCTGACCACTTTCTGAGGTTTCCAGCAATTTGTAGGTCACAAAGCTCTCTTTGACCGCCGGTGTAGAGTGTAAGTCGCCGCCACTCGCAGGTCAGTCTGGCCCACACACACACACACACACACACACACACACACACACACACACACACACACACACAGAACATCTTACACCTGCAACTTCGCCGCTCACTTAAACACCTCGAGATCTAAACTGATTTAAAGAGTTTCTGGCAAAGCTTTAGGAGCACAAACGTTAAATATTGATACCACTGGTCTGCTGAGTTATGGGCTTCTTCTATACATGTGCATCCCTTAAAGAAGAGTTTCACTCAGAGCAGGAAATGTTTAAGGACTTCATGTTGTGTCTCAGGACGGCATTGCACTGCAGATGCCCTCCTCTCCCACCCCACGAAGGCTTCAATGAAAATTTTATGTGTGGTGATGTGCGTGTGTGTGTTTGTGTGGCTGCTTGTGCGTGCACCTGGCCTGCTGCATTATTAAAGCTCAGAAGCCAGCTCATTGAAAAGGAAGGAGAAGTTTGAGGAGCAACGGGGAGAGGAGAGAGATTCACTTTCAGGGGCGGCGTTCGAAGTTTTAAACAGAAGAAGAAACGGCAGGTGGTCCTGAGAGCCCGGCACGAAACAGGAGGGAAAAACGACAGTGGTTTCTCTCATGTCCTTCTTACATCATGTGAGGTGACCTCTTGACCTCCCCTGAGAGTCTCCCTTAAACATCAACGCATCCATACGCTTGCATCCACAGAGAGTGGAAATCACCCCGGTGTGCACCGTGCACCTGACATCCCGCCAGAGGCTGCGGACGAAACCCCTCCACCCTCC